TAAGATGATTATTCTGATAAATCCACCACGGAGTAGGCAGATCTTGCTTCAAAGCAACATTTAGAGGATGCGGCAGCTTTTAAAGAAGCCAAGTGGGTGATTGGCTGGGTGGATGGGTGGACAGCATCTCCCCGTCCTCACTGGCTAAGGGAGAGCTTTCACGTCCCCTGCCGTGCCTACTTGCCCCTCCTTCAAGTGAAAGGGTGATTGTACAACCATAATCGTAGCTAAATAAACAGAAATGCTATACACACCCAATCCTTCATCTGGAAAAGGTAATTATAGATTTCACTGAAAGGACTCTGGGTATGTGCGAGCAAGAATCATGCAAGCAAAAATGAAATATGCAATGAGGAACTTAACCCAGATCTGCCTGTTTCCTAGCTGCCTGGTCTCCATTTTGTGGGTAAACTTTAGGTAGAAATTTGTCTGCATTACGAGCTCCAGACAGAAATTTTTTAACAATCCCCAATCCAAAAAGTGAAATCAAGTAACCAGAAGCCAGCCATTTAAGGAATAGCGTATTTTTCCCTGTTTCCTGAAGGACTGCAGAATTCTTGTTGTTACATAATTGCATGAGCCACATCCCCAGTTCCTTTATAAATCATCTCTGCATTTGCACATATGATGTCAGAGGTTTTTCCTTTGTGGCTACAGTTTTTGACTGAGGTAGAAGACGCTTCTTTAAGCCCAATTAACAATTCCTTGGGAATTTTGGTACCAAAAAATTACAAGTATTTTCTAAGCAAAGAACTACTAGCTGCCCGCTACTAACTCAAAAGCGTTTAAAAAAACGTTCCCTTCCAGTATTACAGAACATATTTGTGGCTCAGAGGTTGAGAAGTCTGGCAGCTCTGAAGAAAATTGAATTCACAGTGCAAAAAGGCGGCTTCTGAACAAAGATTAATTTGTGTGCATGGTCAATGAACTCCTGCTGACAGGCTAACGGCTTCAGCACCGTGGGTGTTATTTTCCTGCCCTGGGTACCGAACCTGGGCAAAGAGAGCTCCTTGTGATGAGTAAGATCCATGCCGACCCCGAAGCAAGGGGCCAGCCGCGGGCAAAAGGAGCTGCTCGTGCAGAGCTCACTGCAGGACAGAGGCCGAAGTGACCTTGCTGGGAAGTGATGAACTGCCCTGATAGATACAGCACTGCAGAAAGCCACCTTCTGGCCAGACAGCAGCACCAGGAGGTGGAAAACTAATACTCCTCCATTCGCCCTCCTCCGTCATTAAGATGGAAGGTCAATACATGGGCTCTATTTCTTTATTTTTCTTTTTTTAAGTTAACATTGCAAAGGAAGAGAGGTTTTCTTCTTCCACCAGCAAGTACACAGGAGATAAACATGCTGAATGCTGTGTTATTAAGTACACAAAAGACAGGGAGGACGTAAATGTTTCCATAGCAACATCTCCTCGCACAGTCTAGACCTTCTGTAGAGGATGCTCTCAGGGACTGGGGGGGGGGGGGGGGGGGAGTACTCCTGGGCCTTGGTAGCAGGGGAGTCAGGTCGGGGGGGTGAGTACGTATTTCTGGGGCCAGGAGGGTAACCAGCAAAAGTAGTGGAGACGGAGAAGTTTGCTCTTTCCTGGAGTGTCGGGAAAGCCACAGCCAGGAAGAAGGGCTGGCAGACGCTGCATTGGCAGGGTACATGGCCCCCACGGTGGCACTGGGCAGATGGCTTTGGGCCCCCGCTGAGCCTCAGTGTCCTGGAGAAGGGGCAGATGGGCTTTTGGCCGGCCCCAGGCCCTGCTGAGGTGGCTGAGGAAGAGGGTGCATTGTCTGCTTTGCAGAAGGATGAGTATGAGAGCAAGTCCCGAGGGCATTCTTGTGATGATTTCTGTCCTTTGAACCTTCCATCAGAAGGGACAGGAACCCTTGCCCCGCACTTCAATGAGCAAAGCATTTCCAGAGACCAGCGGGAATTTTTTCCTGGAGACAGAGTGCTGAGGGAAACACAATGGAGGAATGGGGCAAAGCAGCTAGGCATTTTGAGCAATTCCGAGGGAGAATTAACCTGCAACCTCTGCGGCACAGGCTAATTCACAGTGCTCGGCTGCTTCTCTCCTCATGCAGCATGAACAGATATCTGAAGGATCGTTTCTGCCAGATTCTCGTCGTAAGCTCTTTAGGGATTGCTTTATAGATGTTCCATCTTAAAACTAGATTGAAAAGCAAATATATGTGATTAAAGATCAGGCTGGGAGGTATCAGCGTTCATCTTTTATTACGTGCAAACAGAAAATAAGTTAGCCATATGCTCTGCCTCGTTTGTTTTGGACTAGTACACCAAATGGAATCTCTAATAAATCATTCATTGCTTACCCACCCCCTCACTGTCTTCTGTTTCCATCCTGTTATGTAAATATCACTGACATTTGAAATGAGACTAATAAAAAAAAAAGGATTAAATCTGCAATTTACATTTGCAACTTACAGTTCAATTATTTTAGACAGATATGGAAACAATCCTCATTGTCCACCTACAGTTTTCTTACTGAACAAACGTGGGCATGCCAAACACATGCTGGTAGCTCGCAAAAACACGGCTCTCCAGAGGCTTTAGTTATTCCAAATCAGCCAGGCTGCGGCCAGCTGCCACAAGTAAAAACATTGCGCAAATCTGGTAAGAGGGAGGTGAGTTTTAACTTATAACTTGCCCAAGCATGAATTTCCTGAGAAAAGCTACAACTGGTTGAAAATGATGTTTAGCAAAAAATATGTGTATGGGGGGGGGAAGAGGGGGTGCTGACTTTTGTTCAGACCCTCGGGGGATTCTTTTGGTTTTCTCATTGTCCAGCCTTGTTGTATTGTGTTGAAAGGACTTGGGGGGTGGTCAGGAATAATCCCTCATGTGTATTAGCACATGTGGGAGCAGTTTAGCTCACAAACAAAGAGCCTTCCAGTTGTCCAAGCAATAAAGGAACAGAAACGTAGCTCATGGCAACTGGTGTTCTTCGCGGGGCTGCAGTTAATGTGCCTCCCGCTGCAAACTGTCTCTTCAGTGCGTATCAAAATGTGTGTATCTGGACATTATCGGCATCGGCGGGGGCGCACCATGAGGCTGCAGCCCCTCAGCCAGCCGCAGGCACCAGCGGGTGAGCTAACAGCCCATCGCCACTTCAAGTGGGTTTGTCTTCCGCTGCCCCAGCGCCCCTGAGACTTGTCAGAACGAGGACTCCTTGCCTCTATCGGCCCAACAGCGATTATGCTGCGCTCCCAAACCTGGCATCAAGGAGCACCCCTCCTATGAGGACAGGCTGAGAGAGTTGGGGTGGTTCTGCCTGGAGAAGAGAAGGCTGCAGGGAGACCTGATTGCGGCCTTTCAGTACTTAAAGGGAGCCTATAGGAAAGATGGGGACAATCTTTTTAGCAGGGGCAGCTGTGACAGGACAAGGGGTAATGGTTTTAAACTAAAACAGGGTAGGTTTAGACTGGATACAAGGAAGAAATTCTTTACAATGAGGGTGGTAAAACACTGGGACGGGTTGCCCAGAGAGGTGGTGGAGGCCCCATCCCTGGAAACATTCAAGGCCAGGTTGGACACGGCTCTGAGCAACCTGATCTGGTTAAAGGTGTCCCTGCTCACTGCAGGGGGGTTGGGCTAGATGACTTCTAAAGGTCCCTTCCAACCCAAAACATTCTATGATTCTATGATTTAAACTAGCAGCTTTGTCCGAAGCAGGTGGAAAAGTTATTTGAGCTTGGGTTATTTCAGCCTCTCCATTCAGTAAGGGGGGATGCCCAGGGAAAGGCTGATAATACCAGACTAGGCTGTGCGTGCTCCATCTGGGGATTTGTTTTTAACTTCACCTAACTTCCCAGTGTCTCTATAAGGCCAGGAAGAGAGACTGTGAATGGGTATGCCCTGTTAATGAAATAAAACAGAATCCTGGGGATATCTTGCGTGCGTGTGAGATCTCTTTGTCTCTGATGCTGGCAGGCAGGATCGCTGACAAAACAGGTAGTTCAGATGAAGCTCTGAAACTCATGTGGGGATAAATCACCATCAAGGCTGCAGCTCCCCAGGCGCCTGGGGAGGAACACTGCAGATATTATTCAGTAATACTTCTCCGCTGTTTGTAGGCAGCAGCTGCTCAGTGGCTGGAATTTACCAGCAAACTTCGATCTGTTTTAATATATACTTGTTTACAGAGGAGGATGTTGATGCAGTTGTGATATCGTTGAGTTCATAGCTTTTTCCTGAACAACTGTCATTTTCCCTCCTAAAGTCTCTGTATTAGGAGCTTTGACAAATGATGTCAGAAAGAAGATTCTTTCAGAAGACTTCGAGACTGCTCTGCTCCCTGTGCTTGCACATGGGCTTGTGGGTGGCCTCAGCAGAGCCTCCTCAGATGTGTTACAAGGGGACTGGCCATGAGCAAGCTGGATAACAGTCCCCAAAAAAGACTTTGTGGCCAAAGTATCATCCCGAGTAGGTGCTGCAGTTTCTCAACCCACTGCCCCTCTAACTGGTATCACTGCGGTACTTGGTGAGGGAGGTTTGCAGTTCTTTTAGTGGGAGGAGGTTTCTGTGCTTGGCTGCTGAGAGCTGGTTTGAGACTAAAGCCAGGTCAGTCTGAGGAACCAGTCGCGGCAACCCGCCTCCCTTGGGGAGGTACCGCTGGCCTGCTCTTTTGGCAGTCAGAGGGTGAGACTTTGTTGAAGCCTTGTCCTGGGATGACAGTAGACATCTCTGGGTCTGAGGTAATGTAGGCACTGTTCAGGAAGATAAGGTTTGAGTCATTCACCTTAGTCACGCAGTCTCAGTGAGACTGATTTGGATGGCGAGCACTTCTCAGAAATGCAGGTCTCCCCTAGGCAGGGCAGGCTCTCTCTGACCACAGAAGGGTGAAGTCTGTCCTGGGCCACAAGGTTTGGGAATCTGGTCTGCCGGTGACACCAAGCATCTTCCTTCGCAGTGCAAAGCGATGGTCTGAAGATGGATCACTGTTCTTTTTATTAACTTTCTCACCTTACATAAGAAAGAAATTACAAGAATTAAAAAAAAAAAAAAAAAAAAGACAGAGGAGAAAGCTTCCTAATCCAAATCACTAGCTCATTGTTCAAGAAAAGGCACTGGACTAGATGCTTTCTACTGTCTCTCTCACGACCACAGGCAGTGATTTGGAAGAGAGGTGGTTCATGCCTTGGTCACATGCTTGCCTCAGCAAAACCCAACCTCCACATGAATGCCAGGAAGCTGGGACCCCTGCCAACAAGTTCTCTAGCAAGCAACATGGGAGCTGGGGCTCTGTTGCCTGTGGGATTGCCGTGTCTTGTACTACCTTTGCTTCAGCAGATCTCAGGCCCTCTGACAGCACATCACCACTGCTATAAACAACCAGGAGTTGAACATAATTCAGGTTATATTATCTATATAAGTGGCGGTAGTTATTATGTCCAAGGCCATAACTATCCTCTGTGCTAAATAAATTCAAGAATTTGAAGGCAAAAATGTCTCTCTGCCATACCACTTCCAGGAATGATTGCTTCTTGCCTTTCAAAGGGGGTAAGGAGCCTGCCAGGGCATGAAGAGTTTTGGAGTAATGTCTGTCATGGGACAGGTAAAGAGCCAACACAGTCCATCATTTGCCATCTGTGCCCTTGTGCCTGTTGCCTCTTAGGTCTCCGTCCTTTGCAATGCTGAGCAGAGTGCACTAAGGGAGTCTTACAGGACTGGGATCATTGTAGCAGGATGTCTGATGGGGCAGTGTATCATCCCGGTGATTCTGTGGAACAGTGACAATTCTACCACCGTCAGAGGAAGGGGAAGGGGGTGGGCTTGCGTTGAACAGAGGAAACTGCTGCCTAAAAAAAGAAAATCCAAAACAAAACCAAAAACTCAAGCAATCAACTCTTGCCCATTACTTGTGTGAAGGCTTTTCATGAAGAATGTGGTTAGAATTGATATATATATGTATTTCCCCTGAGAAGCTTAGCACTGAGTGTTAATAGACAGATCAAAGAGCTATTTAGCTGCTGGAGCCAGGGAAATTGAACCAGGGCAGCAAAATAAAAATCAATTGGACTTTTAGTGCGTTTAAAGTGATTTTGTTCAAACTGACTTCTGCGTGAGTACTTAGGAAAGCTTAAGATCCTGAGAAGTTTGAGTTCCATGAGCCAAACTCTGTCTCCCGCTCTCCTGCTATTCATAAAACAAGAATGCTTTCTGTGTACAGAATGATTTCAGATCTTCCCTGCCTTACCTGTTGGTCTGACCACCCTCTTTTGCCTTACCGTTTCCAAGGTTATTCCACAGGATCACATACTGTTGAGATATTATTAGCTGGCTCACCACCATCTTTCTGGCTCTGTGGCTTGTGAATAACGCTGTCCTCCTCAGAGTATGTTAGTAAAACTTTTACGCTGTGCTATCCCTACTTGCGCTGGGGGGACTCTTGTTATACAGGAGCTGTTTTAAGGTGGCATTGAATCTAAAAAAAAAAAAAAAAAAAAAAAAAAGGGAGGGGAAGGATATTTCTTGAATCCTTCAGATTGTAAACTCAGATCATAACTCAGCCTGACAAAGATAAAGAAGATAAAATCCAGATACCTCAAAGAGTTCCCCAAGTGTCTAGACTGCAGCAGTCCCCCTAGGGCTGGAAGCCAATACTGGGTTTCACTGGTAGGAGGGAGAATCTCCCATTTTTTGCTCGCTGCATCTGTGAGTAAAGCCCAACATTTCAAGATCCAGGCCCAGATTCAGTAAGCCATGCCGGAGCCATTGAATCATACCTAGTGCAGGTTAGTAGGCCAACATATTTTATCTTATCTGGAAGAGAAACTCCTCACTTGGAAGAGGCTCCTCTGGTTATCCATGAGACTAGATTTAAAAAGCAGCAGCTGTTCTCAGCTTTTCTGGAGTTCAGAATATTAAAATAAACCTTAAAAAACCAGAGGTGATTAACACAGAGAGGTGATTAAGTATTTGGGGGAAAAAAGAAACAATCATACAGTTCCAACACTTTGGCATGATAATCTCAAATTTGGGGTACAGTCACCCTCTTTCCCCCAGCCTAAGATTAGCTACAGAATAGTCAGGCTGGAATTTATTTAAAAAACAGGGAGATGCAAAAATAAATAAGTAAAATGTAAGCTCACTCATTTCCAGGATAGGACTGTGGTTATATAACAAAGCACGCAAAATATTTTGCTTTTTTCTGAGATTCACCTTCCTCCTAAGCTGTTTGTTCATTACGCTAAGAACAAAAGAGATGCTGAGTCTCTGCAGCCTGGGGAACCATTTATGCTCCTCTTCTTTGTAGCAACCTTTTCCATACTTGAAGTAATTTATCATGACTCCTCTCAATTATTTCTTCTCTACATTAAACAAACCCGTATCTTTTGATCTTTCCTCCCTATTCATGCCGGGACAGCTTTTATGCAAAGCTGCAAACCGCTGCATACATTAAACATGTATTGCAAGCTCTAGGCTTTCCAGGGGTAGTAATTTGAGGGGGTCATACCTGGCACAGGTTCCACAGAGCAGCTCGTTTTAGCTGTTCCCATAAGACTCCATCTGACGTGAAATCTGCTTGATCTCATCCGATCCGTTTCTACCACAGAACAGATTAAAGGACAAAAGCAAACCAAAACAACACAGGCAAGGGGTATCGGAAAAAAGAATGTTAGAGAGCTAGATTCCCTTGTATCATAACATATCCTCCCAAATAGTTAAATGTTAATTGCCAAGTCCTCACTAAAGGAAGTCTCATGGGACAATGTTGTCACTGTAGCACGTCCTCCCAGAATTAAGGAGCCTGGGGTCCATCAAAGGCAGCATCACCTCATGCTTTACTTGACGTCCAGCACTTCCACCCCACCTTCCCAAGCAAGCACATAAAACTGGGTCTGATGCGAAGAGCCTTGATGCACCAGACAGGGACCCCAGCACAGCGGCTCCCTCACTGCCTGAAGGCTGATGCCTGGATAACAGGAGTGCTTTTGGCAGGGGAGAGGATTGGCACTGCAGAAGCACACGCGTGACTGAGCAAGGGCGGGGGAGTCTGCACAGGAAAGTTTAATATTAAAAAGAGGCACAGAAGCCTGCGAAGCCTGGGGAGCCACATGAAAGGCAGGTGCCTGTCTGGGCACGCGGGCGATCAGAGAAAGGACGGGAGGCACAGCGCCTTAATTACGCATCGTCTTGTGACGGGTGTGAATGCTGCCAGGAGCCAGCACGCTGCAGTACCGAGCTGATTGCTCTCTCAAGGAGAGTTGCAGAGCGCTGAGCACCCAGAGCCACAAAGGGAAAGCGGTGAATCAGCAAGGGGCACGTCGGGCCCCAAGCACTGGTGTGGTGCAGAATTATGTCAGCATAAAGGTGATATGCTGAGACAAAAGCAGAGATGTTCCTTTGTTTATAAACACACCAGAGACAAGCAGGTTACCGTGGAAAGTCATTTTATTTCAGGATTTCACGCACTCTGTCACAGACCATGCACTCAGACTTTCCCCTTTGCAAATCCACAGCCTCCAGGCCTGGGAGAGATGGGGCATCATCACTTCTCACTGCAAGTACCCACATGCTAAAAGTGAGGGCTGATGGCAGCTTCTCAGGAGGCAGAAAGCAGCCTCGTTTCCATAATTGCTTTTAAACACTGGAAAAGAAATCCATCTGACTTGAAGGATTAGCAGTGGAGCTCAGCAGCAGTGAAACCCGCTGCTGAGCAAGTTGGTCCTCACCCTGCGGTTGCAGGGAACAAGACGACAATCTCATGGGAAGCTCGCGTGAGCTAAGCTATAGCAGAATGCACCGAGGCATTCTTGGAGCCCAGGCAGCAACCAACCAAAAGCATGCTCTGGGCCTCTTACAATCAATTTGTCTCTGAGCCGCTCTGTCAGGAAGGTGGCTGGGAGCTGCCCTTTTCACATTCAGTTCTAGGTCCTCCTGCTCTGTGCTACAGCTTTGACTAGGAAGGAGCCTACCTCTAGGTAAGACAGTTCTCCAGGCTGTACATCAACACACGTACTGCATTTAATACTGAAAGGTGCCAGTTTGAAAGAGACTGCCACAGTCTGTTTGACCCGCAGGCTGGGTACAGCATTAGTGTAAGTTTCCTGCATACTTATCCTGCTCCTTCTTCCCTGCCTCTGTTGCCCCTTTTGCCTGAGCCTCCTCTTGAAAAACTCCTAGTTGCAGTGTCCCTGTGACCCACTGTGTCTTTGGCCTTTGCTGAGAGTGCCACTGCTGGGGCAGCTCTTGCCTGCTGTGGTGGCTGCCTGTAGGATGTGAGCATCTGCCTCCCGAGAACGGGCTTGTGGCTAGCTCAGAGGAGGGAAAAAAAGAAGGGAAGAAATGATGGAAGTGAGTCAAGTGAAGTGGAGCAAAGTCTACAGAAAAGGCAAAAAGGCAGCTTCAGTCTCCATTTGATACACAAATTGAGCTCAATAGCAGCAAGAAATGGCCATAAAATATTAATTCATTAGGTTGCCAGGAAGAAGTAAAAGCATTCATGTAAAAAATTCTATATACAGCTATGTATGTGGCAACTGGTCTCAAGCCAGCTCAGACAGCGGATTCCTCCCGCTTATGTCTTACCTTTTTTCTATCTACCTATAGCTTTGATCATTCCAAACCATGTTGCTGCTCAATTCTGCTTGAAGACCGTGGTATTGGAGCCAGCACCAAGTGAGGGTGAGATCACACTGAAGAAATGAATGTATGGTGAACTCCTGACAACCCCGATATTTTAATATTTTGGTTGACCTTCAAGTAAGTAGAAGAAAAGGGAATTTTCCCCAATAGCCTATAGGCTCCAAAGTCTCATCTGTCTGCTTTTAGGGTAGGAAGTCTGACATCAGAAAGGCAGTGGAGGGCAGGGAAAGAAAGAGGGGAAAAAAATCTGGGAATCAGAGTGAAGAGCAATCAACAGCTGACCAACACTGACTGCTTCAAACACTACAAAACACAAAATCATACAAACAGAATTTCTGTTAACCTTTTATAGACTACAGACTTTATATACACACACAAACTTCAAAGTACGCATCTGGCAGTCTAGAAAATACCAGTACCCTAAGGATTAAATAATTTAAAATGCAATGTTACATTATCACTGTATACGGAATACTGAGACATTGGCTAAAATGGACGGATTGTCCGAGAAAGATGCTCCCTCCCTCATCTCACTAGCACTGCCTCTAACAAGAAAACAAGGGCTAAAGACTTCCCTCCATGGTTCCACTCCTGAAACTCTCTGTCAAAGGGGAGTAGGTCCTGAGAGGAAAGGAGGAGAAAAGGATTCCTGCTCCCTCCAAATTCTGCTGCTGCAGTACCCCTCTCCATTGGCTAGGGAGGCTGGATAGCAAGGGGGAAAAAAAGTTGCTAAAGCTGGGAAAGGCAAGTATGTTTCTGTAACGATAGCTGTGCTGGTCTTTTGAAGGACAGACAGCCCCAGACTTGGGAGGACACCCTCCCTCCCATTTTTGAAGACAGGAGGCCAGAAGGCTGAATGCAGAACATAGAGTCCATGTGGCTAGTATGGGAGACACGAAACAGTGCAGCAGCTGCCCATCCGAAACCCATACCACAGTCCAGCAGCAGATGGGGGGGGCAGCCAGAGGAGAACAGCCTGACAGCAGCTGTCAACCGGAGTGGGCAGAACTGCATTACCAACAGGTCCAGACAGACTGAATGGGAAGGTCTGCCCTCACCAGCTTTCTAAGAGCAATTGTAAACTGGGAGCACTGGAAAGTCAGCGCATGGGAATGAGGAAGGGGACGGACAGCCTCATTCTGAGGTGGCTGGGAAAGGGACTAAAACACACACTGAGGGCAGATGGCAAAGCCAGCATATCTCTGAATGCCAGCTCTGCAGCTGTACCCTAGTATCAGTGTATGGGACAGAACCTTGCTGATGAGACCAGTTCAGTTCCATCACCTTCACAGACCTATAGCTGGTGAGAACCTGGCTTATGTGTGCTTATTACAAAGCCCTTTGAGGCAAGCAGTCTTCCTTCCACCTCCTATAAACCAGAACAGCCATAAGCCCTTGGGGAAAAGATGAAAAAACCCTAATCCCCTTTCCCATGTGTGTCTCTCACCCCTCCCCCATAATCAGCCTCTTCCTCCAGGCCAGAGAGAGACATCTAAGCAGCCACCCTGTTCTCCATTCCCAGGGCCATTCCCACCAGCAACACCCTGCAGATCTGGCTAGGCAGGAATGACAAGCCCTGTTCCTTCGGCCTCATCACATAGCCAGACCACAAAGGTTTCTTCCTCCTCCCCTAGGACAGCTTCAATGAGAATTGCCCGTATTGGAGGTTGTGTTGCAGCAGGCTGGTCAAGCCTCTGCCCTTACTTCTGAAACCAGCTTGCAAAGGATGAGAAGGCTCTGCAGAAGCAGGAGCCACGGACATGGGCATTCTCCTATTCCGAGCACTACAGCCCTAAATACAGCCAGTGTAATCATTATCCACTCCAAAATACAAAAAACAACCCTGTCCAAAACATCTCAGTCTGCCCTGCACAACTGGGTCAAAGGGCACCTCCCCTGCCCCCCCCCAAAAAAAAAAACCAAAAGAGGAAAGCAAGACAGTGGTACAGCAGAGAAAAAGAAACATGGGGCAAGTCAGACTGGAGGAAAGGACCTCAACGCAAATCTGCTAAAATCATCACTGGATTTACCAGCCCAGTTCCACCTTCTTCATACCAAAATGGACGCTGCAGTAAGTGTACCACAGGAAAAAGAAGTGCATAGTTTCTTTGGGGTTTTTTTTTTGGTAGACACTTGTTTAACATCAGCAGAATTTATGCAAAGATCTTAGAGCTGCAGTTTTAGCCTCTTTTCCCTAGCTAATGGGTGCCTGTTGGGGCAGAGATGGTGGAAATGGACCCGTAGCACCAAGAAATTCAGTGGGAGCACCAACTCCACAGCAGGAAATAAAAACGAACCAAAAGGAGACAGACAGAGAGAAGTGGAGGAGACATATTTCGCAGTAATCAAAGTCCATGTTGGCTGAACCCCATCAAGATTTCCCTAGGTAAGGCCCCATTACGTTTGCAGCAAGACCTCTGGTTCTGAGAGAGAGCTGTAGAGGGTATAGCCCAACTCATCCACTTCTTCAGGGGTGAGCTCTGAAAACAAGTTCACCTTGGGGTTCAGAGCGCTGGGGAGGACACCTGCCTCCAAGTAGCGGATCAACCCCTTCAGCGCCTGCAAGAAGCGATCAGCCAGCACGTCCTGGGACCAGTCGGACTCTTCTTGGGATAGGTGCAGGATGACATTGGTGAGCTGGCTGGCAGTGAGGTGGCCCAGGGCTGGGTTTGACTTGCATACTGCTTTGAAGATCTTCAGGCACAAGCAACGGCAGCCAGAATCACACTGGTCCAGGGCTCGGAGGCGAGCAGTTTCTGCTGGCCGCAGGCTCAGTCGCCACAGATTGTCATTCTGGGCCAATCGATGGGGTTTGGCCACAAGGATGATGTCGCCTAGTGTCAGGGATGGTAGGAAGTCAATAAAAAGATGCCGTTCTGGATCATACTGGACTTCCAGTGTCAAATCTGCTGGGGGAGCTGCTGGACGGATCACATAATCCAAGAGAGTCCCAATTGCTGGCCAGTTGATGGAGCCAGCTACAACTTTCTCAAAGGTGTCTGCTACAGCTTTGGGGGAAAGGTAACCTCCCACCACACAGCGGTCCCAGTAGCTGCTCCCACGGGGAAAGTACTCTGGGTTTTCCCGACGCACCAAGTAGAAGCCAGGAATGTTCATGATGGTGTCCTCCCCCGGGATGCATGACCACAGGTTCTGTTCCAGCATCAGAGGCACAATGAGCTGGATGTGGTCAGCTGTCACTACCTTTCACAAGAGAGAAAAGTGAGTAAGAACAAGCTTTCTCTCTCCACACTCAGTTTTATTCACCACCTTTAGGAGCATTCTGTTCAAAGGAATGTGGAATAAGGATTCAGGTATCTCGCTCTCCTCTCTGCGTAGGATTCACAGCCTGCCTTTGTCAAAAGACATTCTGAAGGACTATTTCCCGTCATCAGTGGGATAACTCCAAGGTATAACCCAAGCTAGTGCTTATACAGTGTGTACTATTTAGAGATCACCAAATACTTCAAGACCTGACATGAACCGCATATAGACAAATAATTTTGTCTCCTACTGCTCTAAGTCCACTCCTTGGAGTGACCAGGGCACAGCAACAGCACAGGACAATTTAAAACAGGAGGCAGAGTATTAAGTTTCTAGACAAACTTAAGTTGCCGTGGTTTAATTATCCCATGCTACAACTAGTTACTGCCCTCACCTGGTCTGTCACATTGTTTGGAAAAAGGTCATTAAAAGATCCCTTTTCACCAATGTGATTAAGACCCCAGATCTAAGTTTCACTGGACACTCAACACTCCATTCCAGAGCTCTGACTCAAACAAAAAAGTGTGCCTCTGAATCACTCACTATAGCCATGGGCATCTTGCCATCAGGGAGATATGCAGGAGGGACTGCTGTCCAATCCAGGTTTGACATGCATTTAGGAAAGAAGAAGAAGAAAAAAAAAAAAAAAAAAAAAAAAAAAAAAAAAAAAAGAGTAGGGAAGACCTACATGAATACACAGGAGTTCTAAGGGAATATCATGTATTTGTAAGGAGATAGGAGGGACAGAGAGATAACAGAGGTCTGCTGGAAAAACAGCAAGAAAAACACAGCTCCACGGAGAGACAGAGGGGAAGGAAACAAAGGCTGAGATAATCCAGAGAAATAAAACAGCAAAAAGCAAATTCTTTGCAGACAAAGCCAGAGCAGCCTGGTCACGCTGTTCAAACAGTATTGCAGAAATGAACGCCTGGCTCCACGGTGGGAAAGGCGACACCAAGAGCCTTATTACAGAGGAATGTTGTGCTGAGCCAGCACTGCCAACAGGGAAGCCTGAAATGCCCCTGCCGAGTCAGCCTTCTGAATAATGACCCATCACGCGGCCCCCGGAATTACCTGCAGATCATCATACAGGCTGCCGCTGAGGTACATGTCACGCAGGGGCATGTCCGGCAGCTTGGCACGTAGGAAGCTGCGGAGCTCAGCACAGATATCCACAGCTGCTTGCTTGGCGCGGGCCTGCTCATCTGCTGGGATAGCTACCTTCCTCCGGTAATAAGCAAAGAGCTTTTCTTGCAGAGACAGACGAAGGCGGGATTTTTTCAGCTCCACTTGACTCCTCTTGGCAGATGGCTTGGGCTTTGTGGGTCGGAAAAAGTCTGCAAGACCAAAAGAAAACTGTTGATCGTCTGCAGCGTTTCACTGTGAACTGATCTGCAGAAGAAAATCTGCAGCACCAAAGTGCAGCCTCCTAGGTCTAAAAAAGCTTTCAGCAGACATTTTGCATGCTTTACACAGATACCAGTCAAAAGGGAGGTGCTGAGAACAATTAAACCAGATGAAACATACATACAACAATTAAACTGAATGAAAACAAGTTACTAGATTTGAAATTTAGCCAGGACAAGACTAAGATTGTGTGCAAGGAAGTAATTTTAATGGCTACATGGGCAATACCTCAGTTCAACTTCATCAGAAATTCAGCACTGTTCAGAAGCTTTCAATGTAATGCCAGACCAGTGGATAAAACACTCTTCAACAACCATCACTATCTCATTAAGATTTCAACATTATAATGGGTTTTTACCAATTATCAGCAAAACTCAGTCCTGACTAGGGTAGAGTGGCATGAGAAAATCATGCCACTTGGAAATGAAATAGTTGTCAGGACTCTGCTGACAGATCTTGGGGCCAGCAGAGCTCAGGCAATCACAGCCCCAGTGAAAACCTCCCTCAAACTTTCACTGGCCAAAGAACAGAGAACACGCTCTTAGGCACATATCAGCAATACAATGCTTTACGCTGCCATCTGCATTATTAAGCAATGTCTAACCTGCACAGATCCTCTAATCCCCTTTTTTTCTGACTGGTTTCCTAAAGAAGTAAGTCAATGCTTCCCATCTATCTTTCAGACTTTTCTCAATATGGACCAAGAGTTGCAGAAGTTACCAATGAGAATTAAGGAAGAATTACAGATCTAAGAGATCTTTGGAAGGGCTGTGGTGCTTAACAGGTGTAGAAGAAACCCCAAAGTCAGTGGCCCCGTTAAGGCAATCAGCTGTTGCACATTTGTTTGGCAACAGGCATTTAGCCACCCAGCGCATGCAGAATGGCAAACCAAGCTGCACACAGTCCCATCTTGCCCAACCTCAGCAGCTGCTGTCTCTTGTCCCACTGGGGTTTTTTGGACAGATTTGAGGGTTTGTATGAAAAGGAAATAGCCTGCAAAACCACAGGGAACCAGACTTCATGAAAAATTGTATTCTTTCATCTTAAGTTTTCATTTATTTTTAAGTCAAGAATGCAAAATGCCATCATCAATGGTTTTATTCCTCAATCCTCATCTTAGGGGATTCCAGTCAAATGATCTAGACCTCATTTAACACAGCTGTCTCATTTTTTAACATTGCCTCAGCAGAAAAAACATTGCCATCCTGAAGCTGACTTTCTTGCAGAGAATCTGGAAATCACGTTAAAAGCTTGATCCTGATTTTTATTTTGAATCTCCAAGTGTAAATCTCCTGAAGTGACCAGGAACAGAAAGTAAAGTCAGTGAGAAAAAAACAACCAAACACATAAACCAAACACCAACTGGCTCTACATTACTTATTATCCCACTCAGGAAGAAGACTGCAGGTCACTTTTTATAGCCAGATGAAGACTAACTCAGTGATAAGCAGCACTAAACAGGCAAACAGCATTACAGAAATTATTATGAAAATGGTAGAGATAACATAGGAAATACTGTTGTAAATTACTAGTACATTCACAATTTGAATACGTCCCTCTAAAAAGACACAAACAAATGGAATGGTCCAAAGAAAGGCAATAAAGACCTTCAAAGGAATAGAATGGCTTTTTCTGAAGAAAGCTGTATGGATAAGTATTCAGCTTAGAAGACTGATGGACAATAAAGCTTAAGACCATGAAGTCATGAGAGGAATGAAGAATGCAAATAGATGACTCTTTTTCACTGGTTCCCAATCTGACTTCTAGTTCCTGAAGCTACCAGTAGACCCGCTTAAAAGAAAAACATCAAAATACTGGGCTAGGCAGAGTATTCTTTTTCCCTGCGTTCCTTTAAATGAATACAGGGTTTATGGGCCTGGATGATTCTGTAATGCAAGAGTATCACCCTGCTCCTTACCTGTCTCTGCAGCAGAAGGATCAGTGGGAAGGGTCTGCAGGGAGCGGCTGAGGTTAGTCTTCATGTCCTGGGTCAGTAAGCGTGAGGAGGAGCCCAGCCAGTTTGGCTCTTCCCAGCTTCTCTTTCCTGACTGGCTCAAGCGAGTGGGGCTGCTGGGAGCACTGATTGCCCGGTCGTACATCTGAAGCAACATCACCAGGCACAGTCTGAGTCATTAAGGGCCCAACATTTGCATTTTGTCATAGAATACCAGGTTGGAAAGGACTTCAAGGATCACCTGGTCCAACCTTTCTAGGCAAGAGCACAGTCTAGACAAGATGGCCCAGCACCCTGTCCAGCTGAGTCTTAAAGAGTGTCCAGTGTAGAGGAGTCAACCACATCCCTGGGGAGATTATTCCAATGGTTGACTGTTCTCATTGTGAAAAATTTTCCTCTTATGTCCAACCAGAATCTCCCCAAGAGTAACTTGTATCCATTACCCCTTGTCCTCTCCATGTGACTCCTCGTAAAAAGGGAGTCTCCATCTTCTTTGTAACTACCCTTTAAGTACTGGTACATGGTGATGATGATTTTACCCAGCCTTCTGCTAGCATCCCCAGTCTTTTTGTTTCCCGCTCCTTCTTTCCAATGCCCCCATGCTCAGATCCCACCCCACTGTCCCACACGCTCACCCGTTTGACAGCCAGCGTAGCGATGCCCAGCATAGCTGCTCCACCCACGCCCAGCACAAGCCGAGCATTGGACAGCACAAAGTCGATGGCTGTGCCGATGCCGTTGTCATCTCTTTTCCCTTTGCGATGCCCAGCACCTGCCATCTCACCTGGAAGGAGCAGGAGCATTAAACAAAAGGGTCAAAACACACAACCCTAACAGTTCACTCCCTTGTTCTCCACCCCACACTCACAGCTCTTGGGGTCTTAGCACAGAGCCATAGGAAGGGACCACCTAACCCCTGCAGCCTCTCTAATTATCTTCCCTTGGAGAGCTACTTATTTCCAGACATACCAGAACAGTGCTGACCAAGCTGCAGCAACAGCATTTCTTTGCTTCCAGCTCCCATTATGACCTGAAGAAAAACGTCCTGAATTTGATGTGGGACTTTTAATCATTGAAGCAGGTTTAATTGTGCAATCACCTAATGCTTTTTAAAAAATAAAGATTTACTTCAGCAATATTGTGTAATAAAATCCTGTATATTATGTAAAACCCTATGACCATTCAGGTCTTTTAATTTGTGCTTCTCAACCAAAGCATGGGGTTTTTTATGCCAATCTATTTTCTTATTCTCAGTCTAATGCATGTAATTTTGCTCACAGACAAGGCGATGCAGGGACAGTCAACTGCTTGTCCGTAACAAATCATGATCTTCCCAAGAGTTGACAGACAGTCTCAGAGCATCCACTCCCAGACTCATTTTCGGACAACAGCTAGTCCCAGATACTTCAAAGACATCCAAGAATCAACAGCAGAGACCACAACACACCACAAAGGGAACAGCTCCCTTGCTTTCACCAGACATTTATTCCCACCCTCAGGGCTGGTGGGTTTGACTCTCGTATAATTCATATATAACATATGCATGTACCTTTGTTTCCTCCAATTCCCATTTAACCTGACCTCAATATTTAAATTCAAAGAGTCTCCTTGGCCAGCTACATGTGTAAAACACACTTTGCCACTGCTGTACCCATAGACGGATCCTCAGCAAACCTACATGAAAACACCAGGAAACTCTTCCAACCTGACTCGAGATCTGTTTTCTAAGTCTGTTTCAAATGTTCAGAGCCTGCCTGACTTGTGTAGTTTAAAAATGCCCTTAGGTTTTTCTAAGGCCAAGCTACAATCTCAGGAGGAATGTTCCTGCCTTGATGAACCAGGAATCCAGTCGCTTTTCATCCCTAGGCAAAAAAACCCACACTTTCACAAAGCTAACTGTAATAGTAGCACGAGGAACGTGGTTATAACATTGTACATGACCTACCTGTGACCTAATGCATTTGTAAAGAGAACAGGAGAGCCCTCCTGGTATGCCTGTGGAAGCACCCTCCAGACTTCTTCAAGACAGGGGTGGGCAGGGAGCATTTATCATCTCTTTTGGTTGGCAAGGGGATTTTGGAAAGAAGAGGGAAGCAAGTGGGGCCAAAAGCAGCTACAAGGACTCTCTAAACCAGGCGCCCAAGCTTGCTCTGCAGGAAAGCTTGCCCCTTCTCCAGCTGTCTTTCCTTGTCCTCTAGCTGCTGCAGCCCCTGGTTCTTGCGGAACTCGCGGCGGATGAAAGTGAGGTAGAAATCCTGGTCGGTGTAGCGCAGCCCACGGCCCTGGCGCAGCAGAGCCCGGTAGAGGGTCAGGACAGCCTCCCGGGACCACGCTGCCATGGGGGACAGGTGCGTGGACGGGCGACCTAGAGAGACGTGACGAAGTGCGGGATGCGAGTCAGCTTTTCCCTCCCCGAGGGACACATCGGCCGCCGCCTCCCCCTCCGCTCCTGGCCCCACAGACCACCGTCCTCCACAGCCCAGCCCGGCCCGGAATGGGACAAGCTGTCTAACGGCGCGCCGGGGATAACGGGCTCCCTAAGGGCGAGAGGCCGCTCGCCCTGGTGCGGGGGAACCGGCGGGCCCCG